TTGGAATATTTGGGACTATATAAAGATAATACATTATTGGATAGCAAACAACTGAATTTAAAAGTGAAAAATTTCTAGCATAGTTAAGAAATAGTTTTATTTTGGCTAGATTGAAATGTTTAGAGTTTTAGAAAGTCTCTTTTTATAAACCATCAGTGGTTTCCACATACTCTTTACTTTTGACTGCCACCGGCATGAATATAGTGTCTTTTTTCTTTGCTGAATGTGCCCTGGAAGGAGTGGTATTTTCTACTCTCTGCTGGTTTGAGGTGGGCTTATTGACCGAGCCGGGCACTTGAAGCCCATCTAGAGCCCTAAATCAGAATGAGAGGCTGGGAAAGCTCGTTGCGGCCCAATTAGAGGACAGCCGGAGAGGACAGCCTTTACCTTTGCTGATCTTGTTGATTGTCTCCCCGTGGATTAAAGACAAACCTTCCTTAACAAGCACATTGAGTAGCTTGAGTTTTCAAAACTCTCCAGGACCAGTAATTAATCCAACTGGTAATGAGAGCACCGTGCTGAATTCTGAAAAGAAATCATATAACTCTTTCTATACTGGATAGTTCATTTTCCCTTATTACTATCCCTTTAGCCTTAGCACTATTTATTTGGGACAGTATAAAAATAGTCTGGTGGGAAGTGTCTTTTTCAGTAAAAAAGTAGTTATCTCTGTGTATTTAAAAGCAAAGTTTGTCCTTCATTCCCAAACTGTACAGAATTGAAAAGTGAACTTTTATTGTTGAGAATACATTAATTAAGCCTCTTATTTTGATATAGGGGCAAATTTTGTACAACTGATAGTGCTTTTAAAAGTTAGGATCTGTCTCTGAATTAGAACTTGTTAATTTCATTCTGAGTCTATTTTTTAACTTAATGGGGATTTTGCCTGTGGAAGTAACCTTTGCTTTGTGCTGCTTCCATTTCTCCTGCCTCTTATATTTAGCCTCTACTGTCTTCTTCCTATGGGTTTGAAACATTTTCCATCCAGAGACGCTAGCACATAAAACACCTTTGAGAGGTTTCCTGGTTCTCTCTTTCCTCTAACTGTGGTTGCACTTGGGTTTCCTTTTTTAATGATTTCCGCTAATAATCTGCTGTATACTTTTTTTAATGCTCAAAGATCCAGCAGAATAAATCGCCTAAACTACCTATACATTGGGGCAGAGTGGGTTGGTAAAAGCTAGCTTCCTCGAGGCACAGAATTGGCCTCGATGGTCATTTTGGTTCATTTTTGATTCTAGCTTCCTTTGTTTCTGATCCTCAATTATATTTACAGAAATACATATGAATTCGTTCTGCCTTCTACTTTTTCCCACTATACCCATCTTGAAAAGTGAAGGATAAATGTCTTTGTATACATTACAGTGTGTTTAATACTAGAAAACCATTTCATGTTGGCTAATTCTTTGAATTGGAAAAGATGACTGATGACTAAAGTAGTAACAATAAAACCGCCATTGATTCAAATTAACTATGTATATACCTGCTCTCTCTGATCCTCTCAATTGACCCTATTTACTTGTCATTATCATTAATACTTTGCAATTGAGAAAATTAAGATTCAGAGAGAGTTGGGGTTCAGAACCAACTCTCAGAATCTAGAGCTTGTGTTTTGTTTGGGGCTTTTTTTGATTGACATATAATTGACATACAACATTATATTAGTTTCAGTTGTACAGCATAATGATTTGACATTTGTATATCTCGTGAACTGAAATGATTACTACAATAAGTCTAGTACCATCTGTCACTATACAAAGTTACAAAAAAAATTTTTTTCTTGTGATGAGAACCTTTAAGATTCACTTCTTAGCAACTTTCAGACTTGCAGTACAATATTACAGACGGTAGTCAGCATACTGTACCTTACATCTCTATAACCTATTTATTTTATATCTGGAAGTTTGTACTAGAGTTTGTGTTCTTATTAATGTGTACAAAAAGCTGACTCAAGAATATGAAAATTAATATATGTATGTTCATGTATGACTGAAGCATTGTGCTGTACACCAGAAATTGACACAACTTTGTAAACTGACTGTAGTTCAATTAAAAAAAAGTGAAAACAGAAAAAAAGACTGACTCAAGTATTCAGGATGTATTTCACAAAGAGTATAGGACTTGCTGGGCATTAAGGAGTGAGCAGTGTCTCTGGAATAGCAGCTTAAGAATGTAGTCCAGTAGGGGGAACAAATCAGAAGGCACAGAAGCAAGAATGAGCTCAGCAGTTTCAAAGGACTGTGCAGAGACTTGCCTTCTGAGGGCCAGGGCTGCCTGGTGGGAATTAGTGGGGACTGAATGTAGTGGGAGGCCAAATTGTGGCAGGCCAGAAAAGCTGGACAGATGAATCTAATTTAATTGCTTATAGTGAAAAGTTTGAAGGGTTTGAGCATTGAAGCTATGTAGCATTTAGGGAAGCCTGTCTGTCCAAGGATATGTGAGATGAGGAAGAGAGGGGAGAATTTGGAGTTCCACAGGAAAGCCAACTAGAAGGATACACTGGCCTTGAGCTAGAAAGTGGGCATGTAGGTGGGACTGGAGAAGAAGGGATGAATACCACAGACATTTCAGAGAAGAAAGAACGGAACTTGCAACGAGTGGCTAGTTGGGGGTTGAAGGAAAGAGGTGACTCTAACTGAGGTTTTGAACTTGGAGAGAGGAGATGGGGTTCTACTGGAAAAGACAAAGATGCTGAGAAATGAAGTCATTGGGAAGAGTGGAGGAGGGTTTTAAGTGAGTAGGCTGGTACTGTGCCCACACTTTAAATAACCAATGAATTCTTAAAACCTAGTGGAAAGCCTGGTGTGAAAGACAAAGCAAGCCTGAGGAGAAAAAGCTATCCACAGCCAGGTGCCAGGGTGACCCAGAACTGAGGAATGTGGGAAACTATTGGTGGAGATGGGACGGGGATCAGAAGCTGAAAAAATCTTCAGAATTAAAGAACATATGGTGTTCCAGGTGGGATTTGAGCAGAGTCTGTCAACCAAGTGTTATAGACAGCAAGTTCTTTCTGGACAGTTTAGTTTTGTGTTAATTTAGAGATATTTGACCTTCTTATTTCATTGTCTCCCCACTCTGCTAGGTATGGATATAAAGAACTCTTCTTTTGGAAACTGTTATGGTATTAAAGGAAAGGGGAGACTTATAAAAGTCTGTGATATCAGTTTATTTGGTTTATGCATCTGAGAAAGCCATTGTTTCTTTATATGATGAAATGTAAATATTGTGTGTGAGAATTAAGCTTCCTTCTCTGTATATCTGAAGCTAGAAAAACACACTCTCAGGAAGCCAGGATAAAAGGAAAAATGACTTTGAGATGCACTTTCTTAAAATAACTGAAGGAGTGACCTCATGAGCCAGCTGATAGCGTGGGTTTGCAAATGGATATGTTTCTATTAGCCTCCTGCTTGATGCCGCAGAGCCAAATATATAATGGAGGGTATTATATCATATCCTGCAGGCAGGAGACTGTCTGGGAGATGAGGAACTTAGAAAGAACCATGAAATGGCAGGCTCGGCACAAGGGTTAACAACATAAATGCTGTCAACCAGAACTTTCTTTATTGGGTGAACATTACTGATTTGGCTTCATGATTTCCTATTATGTAATAATTTGTGTCATCTTCTGATATTTAAATAAGCTCTTCGATACAAGTGTTGCTGTATTCATTCTCTCATTAATACTTAAGTATTCCCATTTCTATTTTTTTCTTTCCCTCTTTTACAGCTACAACAAGCCCATGTCCTTGGGTCTGACTTCTTGCTAAAATTGTCCTCGCCTTTTGGTCTTAAGCTGTAGAGGCTGATGAATGCGTCCTTCAGTGGAGGATGCTGCTTATTTCTGGAGTGCTGTAGAACACCAGGTTCAAAGGAAAGCAGTAGGTCTAGGGAGGAAGATTATAGCTTGATAAACTGCTTCTCTTGCCAAAAATCATTGTAAGCAATGAAGAGAATTCACAAAGTAGGCTCCCCTTCTCCCCCTACGTACACACACAACATGGTTACAGTGCCAGATGGTAAAGAATGGCAGTTGTCTCTGTGGTTTTAACATCTGTTTGGTCTGGATTTGATCTGTAAAATAAATTTGAATGAAGTTCATAATGTGTTTAAATCAACACTTGCTTCACCGCAATGTATCTGTATGTCTGACTCATAGCCATTGGATTGTCTTATTAGAAACTTTTTATTTTTTTTTGTTTGTTTTTGTTTGTTTCAACTTTTTTTGAGTTATAGTCATTTTACAATGTGTCAAATTCCAGTGTAGAGCACAATTTTTCAGTTATATATAAACATACATATATTCATTGTCACATATTTTTTCACTGTGAGCTACCCCAAGATCTTGTATATATTTCCCTGTGCTATACAATATAATCTTGTTTATCCATATTAGAAACTTTTTAGAAGAGTTTTAGGGTTATTTTCCCTTTCTATTAAGTAAAGCCCATTTATTTTTATATATTTGGAACCCACCACCTTACTGAATTCTCTTATTGTTTATAGTAGTTTTTCATTTGATTCTATGGGAATTTTCTGATATACAGTCATATCATCTACAAATAATGATGGTTTTTATCTGCTCCTCACCTCTTATTTCTCTCATCTAATTGTTCTGATTACTACCTCCAGAACAACATTGAAAACATGTTGACTTTGTTTGACACCTTAAATGCATGGAAGTTCTAGAAGGGAAATAAAGTGTGGCATCAGTAGTATTTTAGGGGTCAGAAATCAAACATGGAGGTAGATATTCTTGATCTTATAGGAACAAGTGTATGAAATATGACTTAAAGTGCACTTTACCAACATACATGTAATTCTCCATCACCTGTGGAGCTATAGTAACCAGTGGGAAACAGCAGGTTTTCATAGTCACATTTTGGAACTCTCCAAGACCCTCCAGGAAGGCTCTCCGTTTTATAATCTTAGAATTTGTTGGCAGACCAAACACACCCCATATGTCTTTCATCACTACTGATGACCACACTCTTGTTTTCCAGGCCCAGCTTCGGGCATTTATTCCAGAGATGCTGAAGTACTCCACAGGTCGGGGAAAACCAGGCTGGGGCAAAGAAAGCTGCAAGCCCATCTGGTGGCCTGAAGATATCCCATGGGCAAATGTCCGGAGTGATGTCCGCACAGAAGAGCAAAAGCAGAGGGTGAGTGTTCCTCTGGCCTGAGTTGCCTGTTACTTTTCCATTCTGAATTAACCACTTCATTTTTGTTGTTTTACTTCTTATGCTATAAAAGGTCTAAAAACATTTGTGTAATAGTCAAAAAAGAAGTCTGTCCTCCAAAAGAAGTTTGATATCTCTGATTTATATAGCCTTTCGCATTCGTCACTTCATCACTTTGAAGACTTGGGATGGGTCTGTGAATTTACACTTTTCTGTGCATAGTTGTCTTTTGGAGCAGTTTTAGTTTTATGAGATGCTTGGAAAAACTGAAGAAACTTAAAGTAAAAATATTGTGTCACTTCACAAAATATCACTTTGAAGATTTAGAAATGTCCTTATTTCTGGTTAGCAAGAATCACTGTTGAAAATATGAATGTGAGAGATATAAAGTTGGTCAATTCTGCTGATAATGAAACTTCTTTTAAGAAAGAGGAGAGACTAAACCAGGCATCCTCTTGTACTTGTTCTACATATTTGTTTTCCAGTTAGCTTAAATTTACTGAGGATCTTAATGTCATAAAATTCTTGACAAAATTATAAACCTTTTATGAGAAGTTTGAGTTGGCCTCAGGTTAGAATAGGGTATAAAACCCAAAAGCTAAACCAGACTTTGATCAGGAAGGAAATGAGTGTGAAATCTTTGGTACTGAATTTCTTTGTGTCTGAATCTATGGGAAATAATCCTAAGAAGGTTTATTCTATACAAGTTTAGTTTGGTTTGATAAATAAGCAGCTGCTTATTCCAATTGTGGGGCTGAATAACCAACATTCTTTGTGACTTAATGTGCTTTACTGGTCTTTTGGTGACAGGTTTCATGGACCCAGGCATTACGGACCATAGTTAAAAACTGTTACAAACAGCATGGGCGGGAGGACCTTTTGTATGCTTTTGAAGATCAGCAAACACAAACACAAGCCACAACGACACACAGTATAGCCCATCTTGTACCATCACAGACTGTAGTCCAGACCTTTAGTAACCCTGATGGCACTGTCTCACTCATCCAGGTGAGTAAACCTTATGGTTACTGGATTATGGTTTCTGAGGCAGATCAGTGGGCACCTCACCTCAGGCTGGAGAAAGTTTTCTTTATGCAAGTTCTTATATGAACTTTATATAGATCCCCAAGATCTCCCTAACTGAACTTGATTTTTTGAAAAATATTTTTAATTGTTTCTATTTTGCTAAATATAGAGCTATGGGTAGCATTTCTGGACATTTCCAGATCAAAGCACTGTAAAAATGGCCTCTTCTTTTACCATTTCACTCTGTCAGTGGCCAGGAAATACTCCTTCTGAATTATCTCTTACGAGGTTAAAAAAAATTGTTAGTAGATAAGGAGTCTCTAAAATTCAAATTGGAGTAAGAGTAGAAAGTTGGTTGACTGACACTGGACACCAATGGTGAAACATGTTGACTGCTAATACTGATTTATTTGGTTGAAGTAAAACTCTGAAACACCTGTTAGTGTCTGATATATGGTTTTAGTAATTCATTTCACATGACAAGGCATAGGAATCGTTACCTGTGCTGAATTTGGGATTAAATGAATCTTAACTTCTGAGTAAAGAAGAGGTGGAAAGATCCGTCCACTGACCCGTATCACTTTCCGTGTTTTTCGTTAGGTTGGTACAGGGGCAACAGTAGCCACGTTGGCTGATGCTTCAGAATTGCCAACCACAGTCACTGTTGCCCAAGTGAATTATTCTGCTGTGGCTGATGGAGAGGTAAGAAAGAAGATTCTGTCTGCATCCACTTAAATACTTGAATGTATAGGTGAGGGAGAAGGGGAGGGTCCAGAAGATGAGAAGACTGTAAGTAGCCTACACATCTGTAGCATTATTTAATTTAAACCTTTTTAAAACATCAGACCATGCCAGTTCTGTGAAGAAGCTTACTCTGTGTATATTAATTATAACAATTGAAATTTATGGATCTTTATGATTCAGACCTAACAGTCATGAACTTACAGTTTTACATTTGCAGCATAGGACTTTGTATAATACACAATAAAAAGGGATTATCCATTTAGTAGTTGTATGCTGTGAATCCCAAAGAATTTAAACTTTGGGCCTTATAAATCAGTAGACATTATTTATTAAATTTTAAACGTGCCTTTGAAAGAACTCCCCAAGAAAATCCTTCCCTACCAAAACTGAAGTAATTATGGCATGTTAACTTAAAGGCAGCTAGCGTTTATTGAGCACTCAGTAAATTAAGTACTCACCCCTAGAAAGTACAGATTCTGTTACCATCTTCACTTTGTACATGATAAAACTAAAACATATAGATGTTAGGTGACTTGCCCAGAGGCACAGAGTAAGTGTTGAAGCTGAGTAATAGATTTAGAAAAATGTTGTCTAGGCTCTGAGCCATCAGTGAAGTTCAGGGAAGAGTTCATTAAGTCACAATGGGCTTTTCCCCTAAAGGATGTACTCCTGAAGTTTGAAAAATAGCCAGCAAATGTCAAAAAGCAGTATCAGAAATAAAGCTGAACGTATTATCTCACCCTTGTTCTAAACTATGAAATATTTCCACTCAGAACACCACAAAGTCACTTTCATTTGTGCATCTCAGGAAAGGGAGGGAGCTGATACAGGTTCACGGCTAGTGAGATGAAGAGAAATACAGCAGGTTTCTATCAGCCAGCATGTGTTGAGCACCTGCCGTGCTGCAGTTGAGGTGTTAGGTGTGTGGAGTTGATTTACACAGGAACCTGCTCTCAGGGAGCTCCTGTCTAATGAGGGAGAGAAATGTCTACATAAATGAACTATGGTCCCTGCTGTAAGAGATATTGCAAAGTAGTGTATGCCTTCAGGAGAGAGTGTTTCCAGCTAGGGAGACTGGGAGGACTTGGGGCAGAAGCTAGCATTTGGTTTTCCAGTATGGAAAGGTAGCGCCAGCAGGATATTTACTTTTTTATGTATATAAACATCATGAACGAGAATGGATTAGCAGAGGGAAAAATTCATCAGTCCCCAGACACTAAAACCTGGAGGACACTCCTTGAAGTGTGAAAGAGGTGGCAAAGACAGTGGTGGTACATTTATGGGATTTGTTACTTTTTGACTTAGTCAAAGTTATTAAGCATATCTCCCTACTGAATGTTTCCTGGGTACTATTTAAAGAAAGTAACTTTGAGTTTCTTAAACACTTCTCTGGAGACTAATTCTTTGCAACCCGTTTTACAAAATAACTTCACATAAACAAAGATAATCTATATATTCAAAAGTTCATGGACAATATGAAGGATAAGCACACTAAAATTATTTTTAAGTATCTTTGTGGAAGTGGGTGAATGACATATACAAATAACTTATTGGTAAATACCCAAATTCGGTCAGATTAAAAAAAATTCTAACCCTTCCTATACTTCCAGTGAAACAAAAATGATATGAAGAGAAGCAGCCTAGGTTATCTCAGAAAGTGGCAAAATGTTGTAGATTTTATAGTATGCTTCTATTTGCCTTCTGATTTCTCTCAGATGTTACCATGGTTGTTAGCATCTTAGTTTTGAACCTCGAGGTTTGTAATTAGTCAAAATACCTCACTGACTTGGAACAGATAAGAACACATCAAGCCAATAAGATGACTCAGTAGAAACATCCTACTGGTTGTGTTTAGCATCGTTTCTCCCAAGGAACAGAAGGCACTTTAAAAAATAAACAATACCTATACTTTGAGAAGTTGTAGGGTCATTTTATTATCCAACCCTCACCAGTGAGAGCTCTTACATTTAGACCACACTGCGTTCAATATCCAGTTAGTTGCATTTGGTTACATTTATAAGACAGAAGTCTGTGGGCCTGTCTCTTCTGGTAATAAATGGTCTCCCAAATCTGTTTGAGTATCTGTGCTGAGAATGCAGAATAAGTAGTTACAAAGAAACAAAGAAACAAAACAAAAAAACTAACCTTTTGCAGGTTAAAACTAGAGACACATAACTTTTGTAAACATTTAGAAATGAATCAAAGAATTTCAAAATAATGTGAAATAACTATATATGTTGATTTCAAAATATTTATACAATTTCAATTTTGATGGCGTATTTACAAATACAAATGGATTTGAAAATTTATTTTATTGTGTGATAAGATCACCAGTTCGTATTGGTGATAGTAATTACATTATGTGTCAGAAAAATTGAAACTTGAAATAGAATGATATCTGATAATAGTGGTGTATGTGACTCTGTTAGAAGAAACAGGAGAAGAAGAAACTAAAGTATAGAGATATAGAGACATGAATTTTAAACTGAACCATCAACACAAGTAACAGTTTTGAAGCAGCATAACTTACGTTAGGTGGACTTTTTATGAATATTAATTTACTTGAGGTATGGGTAGGCTGAAGAACAAGTAGAGAAATACAGATAAAAATAAAAATATCCTTTCAGTAAACGCTTTCTGAGCCCTGTGCCAGGCACTGCATATACGCAGATAGAGGAAAATAAAACTGTGTTGCTCTTAAGGAGCACTCAGGTAGGTGGTAGAGGAAAACACATCAGAGAAAATGGCAATGAAGTACGGATCTGGTAGCAGCAAGCCCAGGGTGCTATGGAACACAAGAGAGGTCCTGAGCCGTGGACTGAGGGGAGAGGAGGTGTCTCGCTCCAGTCTCAGCTCCGACTAGAGAGGTGAACAGGAAGCAAAGGCCAGAAGGAAGGGAGCAGCACATGCAGTGCATCTCAGTGTGATGGTGTGGCAAAGCCACAGTGGTTCATGGTAGCTATGGGGCGGGAGTAGCCACAGTTTCAAGAGCCTCATTGGAGAGAGTCTTTCTCAGAAAAGCACAGAAGCTAACTATACATCCTCTGTCTGAACAGCTTTCCCTTCTAGAGTTCATGGCCCTTTCTCTGGGATATGGTGACATCCAGGCATAGATAACTACACAGTGGCTCCCAGAAGATGGAAAGGGAGAGCAATAAGAGCTCAAGCAAACACAACTGAAGTTCTGAGACTCAAGAATAGGAAATTCCAAAGAAACATTAACACCTAAGCTCATTTGTTACCTGTCATTACTCAGTAGAAATTTCTTCATCTGCTTCTTCTTCCCACTTCTTCACAGTTTACCACCATCCATTAATCTTTCATAATTTAACTTCCTTAAAGAATTCTGTGTGTGGCAACATTCTAATACCATTTTCACTACAAATAAAGCTGTAGCTAAATATAAATATATATATTAAATTGCTGCCATTTGAGTATGAGTACTTGGGAGTACAACTCCACCCCCTACAGTCCAAGACTCAGGACCTCTCCTCTTTGTTCTGCAGCACTGGGCCACACTCAGCGGTGGGATGGGCAGATCTGGAAAGAATAAGGCTGTTTCATGGCAAAATGTGACAGGGCTGGCCAGCTTCAGCTGATGTTCTGAGTGGAATCATTGACCATCTATGGATTGGCAGTGTAATTTGCCATCTAAGACGGCACTGTTTGCAGTGATGCTCACTGGAGTAATGAGATCAAAGAGATAATACCTTAAGAAGCAAGAGTTTTATGAGTTCCTGAGTGGGCAACTGTGCAGCTCTAAGAGAAGGAAATGGGATATCTCTGGCTCTTAGTGATGGGCCCTGAAGGCTGCTAGCACAACCCACTGCCTATAAGAACTCAGGGCAAATACTAAGGTAGCTCAAAGAAATGTCCCATTCTCGGGGAGGCTTTTGACAAACATTTGGAGAAGCACTATGATAATCTAAGTATGGTAATAGAACCAAAGCAGGAGGCATTTAAAATATCTACGTCACCTAGAGCTTGCGGCACTTTCTTTGGGACACAGTCACATGTAGGCACAGGTTAACCACTCACTGGGCCCCAGCGAGAGCTCCAGTAAGCACAGCTAACGTACTGAGACCTGAGCCTGTGGAAATATTGTGCCTGAGCTGACTGATTTGTCACATACCATGTTTCAGAATAGAAATTGCTTTCACTGCCCTTGCTGCTTTTTGTTTGGGGGGAGGAATAATTAACCAGTGTTTACTGAGCAAAATGGACCGAAGTAGCTAGATTCAGGTATCCAGAACTGAAAAATCTCTAAATCCAAAGCAATGTACTAAAATCAGTGGTTCTCAACCAGGGACACTCCCTACACCCCTCAGAGAGGACATTTGGCAATGTCTGGAGATAGTTTTGATTATCATGACAGGGGAGGTTCCTATTAACATCTCCTGGGTAGAAGCCAAGTATGCTGCTGAACATTCTACAGTGCACAGGATGGACCCTACAACAAAGAATTGTTTAACCCAAAATGTTAATAGTGCCAAGGTTGAGAAACCCTTTCCTAGATCTAGAAAAGCTGAATTCTAATCTACCCTATATAACCAGATAGTATATTTTTTGTTGTTTTTGTTTTATTTCTTCATAATTCCTCCCTACTAACAGAAAAGCAGTTTTTGCTACCTTAAAAATTATTTACTGAATTTGGCAGTTTCCATCAAAAATAAAAATACAAAGTAGTTTTGATACATAATTCCATCTCTAGGAATTTACTCAATAAATAGACTCACATAAGATATACAAAATAGTGTATAAGGATATTCATCACAGTACTGTTTGTAACAACAAACACTGGAAACTACCTAAATACCCATTAAAAGATGGCTGGTTAAATAAATCATGGCGTATCTTTGTAATATCATGCTATGAAGCCATTATTATGAATCATGAATGAATGAAGCTGTTTGGTACATTCCAAAATAGGATCATTTCAGAGCTGTATTGTTTGTGGAAAAAGCAAGGTACAAAAAGATATGTAGAATATGCTGCCATTTTTCTTTTTTGAAAGGAGAGAGTAGAAGGTGGTTGTAGGACTGTGTGTGTGTGTGTGTGAGAGAGAGAGAATATGCTTGCATAGTGAGAGAATATCCTTGCAAAGATACATAAGAAATAAGTAACAGCAGTGAGAGTTTGGGCACAAGGTCTGGAGTACTGGCATTATACTCCCTTTGGTACAGTTAGGCTTTTGTTAGAATTATTATGATCTACTCAAAAACTTTAATTTTAGAATAGGTACTATATTGATATGACTTAGATATTTCAAACATTGTTTAAAAGTGTGCAGTGGGAAATCTTACTTTCTGTCTTCTGTCCAGCCTATTCCTACAATTCCTCCCCATGCACACACTGAAGAAAATATTTTCAATAGTTTCTTATGTGTCCTTCCAGAATTTCTTTATGCAAATATAAGCAAATTGAAATGTGTATTTTAAACCGTCCTTTTTAACGCAAAAGGTATCATGCTAAAAACCCTTTTCTATACATTGTAAGTCATGTTAATTTAAACGTGTGTATATATTTGGCAGAGCACATAGCAATTTTTTAGAAAAATGACTTTTAAAAATCATAATCTTTTTGTGACTTTAATTTTTTAACTATCATGTCCTTTCTGCCTCAGGTGGAACAAAATTGGGCCACGTTACAGGGAGGTGAGATGACCATCCAGACAACGCAAGCTTCAGAGGCCACCCAGGCGGTGGCTTCATTGGCAGAGGCCGCAGTGGCAGCTTCTCAGGAGATGCAACAGGGAGCTACAGTCACCATGGCACTCAACAGGTGGAGGCAGGGGTGGGGCATAAAAGAGGAGGGCGAATCTGTCCCCATTTACAGATGTAAAGAGAAACATTGTACCCCAGTTTGTCACAGTTGGCATTTGGAACTTAATACTCTTAGCCCATAGGACACTGTAAATTGTCTTATAATTAGCCCTCACCCACCCCACCCCTGCAACCCAACCAGCCTTTCTGACTTCCAGCTCAAGCCTGCTGGTCAAGGGACATGGGTCCCTTTTGCTTTATCCTATTCTGTGCTCCTTAACAGACCAAAAGCAGCGTAGTGTGAGTACTTTGTGTTTTTAAAGGGACCAATGGATATAATAAAAAAAATCAAAAAGCTTCAGGATTGATTTTCCTTTTACCTTATAAAAGAAACTGCTTTTTGTTATGGCTATTAATCCATGTTAGCTGGTCAAGAACTGATTTTACTGACTTCTCAGGAAATTTGTTTTCCTTGCTCTTATCAGTGACTTTGAAATAAAATAAGTTTGGGATTATTGGGGAAGATGGAAATTTTTTTCTTCAGGAATGTTTAGGAAGGCTACTGCAGAATGGGATACTCCAGTAAGAGGTAGTTTCCAAAACTAAATTGTATCGTTCCCTGCTTGGTTCCTTCTTTTGGTTGTTGACAGAAAAAAATCATCCCATTTTATTCTTCTTATTGTTCATTGCTGGCACAATTTTATTTTTGATGGACCCAGGCATTTTAACTAATGGTTAAGAGTTTGTGCCTTGAAGCCAGACTACCTGAGTTTGAATTCTAGCTCTGTCACTTACTAGCTGTTTGACCTTGAGTGATTTACTTGAACTGAGTGCCCAGACTTTCCTCTATGTAAAATGAGGGTAAAACTAGTACCTACCTTGCAGGTGCACAGTGAGAACTGGGAAAGTCAATGCACGTGAGATTCTTAGATCAGTGCTGTCATAGAGTAAGGCTGCTATTATCACAGGCAGCTGCTGTTGGTCTCAGAAAGTCATTGAACTCCTGTGACATGCCAACACTCTACTAGGTAAGGTTGTAAAGGAAGACTGCTCTAAAATACAATGTCTGCCTTACAGAAACCGTACTGTTATTGGGAGATTGATTTAAATAAAACACTTAGCAAACGTATTACTCAGAGTATAATTCACTGTGTGATTGTACAGTGTAGACTATGAGCATAGTAGAAATTCAGAAGAAGGGGATCACCTCCTCCAAAATATAAAAACCAGCTGAGGTTTAGATTGGCTGTGATATACTCGAAAGCCTTGATAGGCTTGTGTACAGATGATTTCCACGAAGCTGTCTAGTTATGGTGACTGAGAAGACGGTTCTGAGGTCATGTAGATTCAGGTTTAAATCCTACTTCTGCCATTTAGTAGTCTTTTGATCTTGAGAAATTTAACCGCTGAACCTTGGTCTCCTCATCATTGTAATAAGGATAATCTTCACATAGAACCAGAAAGATTCAATGGAATGATATATGTATAAAACTTCATCCAAGTGTCTGGCCTACAGTTAGCACTTCAGGAATTAACACTTATTATCATTTAACTTATAAAGACTTGTCTATCTAGAATTGCTTATCGTGAGAAGAGATTTGAAATAGGCCAGTTTGGAAGAGTCAGTTCAGGTGTGACTTGTCAAAGGCTTGGCAACTAGAAGTAAGGATAGAGATAAAGTGACTGATTTTCAAGAAAGTTTGGCCAGGACTTGGTGGTTGATTAGGTATGAAAAACTGAAACACACTCACCCTTGTCCTCCCAGTGTTACCAGTGAGTCTTGAGTGACCTGAGATAGAAACTTTTTTCTTAGCCCATTGAGCCATATCACTTTTCAGTAGCATTAAAGTCTTACTTCATTCCTTTTGCTTTGACCCAATCCCTCTCTTACCTTTGAGAGAGGACACACAGATTAACTTCCTGAAAGCTATGGCCAGAGCGAGAACCTTCCTCCTTTTGGTCCAGTAACCCCTCACTGTAGCTTGGGACCTGAGAGGCCACCATGAAAGACAAGAAAAACTTAAATTTCATTGAACTAGCACCTTGGATATTCCAGTGAAGTGTGAGTGCCCTGGGAACCCTGTACATAGTGGAAAATATGAGGTACATTCTGGCTCCCTTCAGTGTAAGGGCCAGGACTTATTTCTAAAGACAAGGACGGTAATGGTTTCCCCTGAGGGCTTGTTAACAAACTAAGATGCAGCTGAGGTGGCTACAGTGTTTACTGCAAAGGAAGGAGAATATGGTTCACTGTGGCATGTAGGAGGAGTAAAGAGATGTTGAAATCTGTTTGCAATCGGGTAGTTCAGTGCCCTGATGAGTGTTGGGGGGATGGTGTGTTGCTACCTCTGCTGGGGGCGAAGAAACCAAGCCTGGCAGTGAAAGCCTAGACTATAGCAGGCTATTAGGGAACATCATGGGCTTTCTAATTCCAGGAGAGGTAACTCAGTGTCTAATGTCAGGAGGATTGAATTTGAGGCACAAGGCCTTGGTGTTTGCTTTTCTATGGGATGCAACCCATTCTCAACTTCTACACAGAATTTGTTACTGGAAGTCATCTTAGTGAAAAATACACCGAGAATCTGGTCTTAGTTCCTATGGTAACAAAGCAGATTCACAGAGTTGCTCTCTTCTAGCCTCTGTTTCAGGTACAATTGGAACAAGCATGGTTCTCTAATAATTACCTGCACGTCTGCTGCACTGTAAACAGCAGATGTGAGTGCAGAGTGGAGAGAGAGAGGCAGGCTACATGGAATGGCAGGTGGGGAACAAGAAGGCAAAGTGGCTCCTTTGACTATTGAGGGAAAGGGATCAAGGCAGGTGCAGAACAAACCTGTTTTTCAACCACGCTGTTAAAAGAGTTTTGTATAGCAAGTTAGGACGAGGGCCCTGGGTTCAGACAACCCACCCCGGCATTATAATAACCCAGAAAGAGTATAGAGAAACTGTCATTTAAAAATCTGGAAACTAGTTAATTTTAATTATTTTCAAAACATATAATAAGTAAACGCTTTTAGGAAGGAGATGGCAAGAGAATCAAAGTGAACGAATGAAAACCAGAGCATTACAGCTCAAACAAGAGGAGCTGTTCACCCTGAACAACTAGACAGGAAAGGAAGTGAAGTCATCATTTGCTTGTTGCAATACAGTGATGAATTTGAAGTTTCAGTTTGTTGGTTAAGCTGTCCTAGACTTTTATTCCCTCTTAAACAAGTCCTGCAAAGTTATTACGGTCCTTGCACATAGAGGTACATGATAAATATTTGTAGGCTGAATCTGCATTTGCCCTGGTAGAAATTTACAGTGTTGTTGACAGTGAGACAGGTTTTACTGAGTGTCTGCTGTGTCTAGTGCTGTGACTCAGTGCTGTGGGGGAACAAATGCCTAAGCTGACTCCTCTCTTCAAGGAAGTTAAGAGTTACTATTCTTCTGCTGTGAAGAATTTGCTTAAAAAAGAAGTGAATCATATTTTTAAAGAAAAATTGACTCTTACTGTTTTTTAAATGAAAATTTGACTTAAAATTAGAGTTATAATTAAAATAAAATTTGACTTTAATATGTGGACTTGTATTTATTTGCCCAGTAACATGGGATGGACAACCTAGGTCAGAAATCCCCCTGGAAATGGAGGACAGGGACTGCGCAACTGCCTCTTTTCCCATAAATAAAGGTTGGACACTTGCAGATAAAAAGTTGATGGAAACTTCCGATTTACAACTCCAATTTGGAAATGACTTTTGTCAAAAATTGTGAAGTGGTTGCTTAGAGACATTTTGATCTCTATTCACCTTTTTAAGTAAAGGTAATCTTTTTCTAGCAGTATAGTTTGAACATTTCCCATGAAGTCTAGCATAAGTGGTTAGGACAGATTTGGAAATGAGAGTCAGCTGACAGCTGGCGTCACCGTCGTCTTCATGTGCTGGGTGAAAGGTCCATCCGTCGCTGCTTTACCCCTGGCCCTGACAGGTACCTGTGGGCCTGTCAGTGCCCCACGTCCCTGGCATCCCAGATTGCTTTACGTTGTTGCTGGTTCACAGCTCTTCTTCTAGCATAACATATTTTAGAGAGGTAGCAAAGGAAATGATTTCGAATATTTAGAGCTTCAGACATCATAAAATGGGTATAGCTGGAAACAGGTTAACTTTCACGTCAGGGCTTGGGTAACTGCTCTCCCGCTTGTAGCCTGTGAAATTCCACACTGCAGGCATGTGTCCAGGAGTGGCCGGACATCACCTTTGATGGTCATAGAAATAAGTGATTAAAAACTGTGGGGAATGAGCAGTCACTGAGATAACCTATAAACAGAGCTCCTATTTCTATATAAACAATTCTCAAATACCAGCTTTTTTCTTCAAAATACCACACAGCTGAAGCATTTTCCTAAGAATATACTTTTCAACTTTCCATAAAGTCTCAGGTCAGAGAGTTAAATAATTTTATTGTTAATCAGTGATAACTGAACACTGTAGAATTGGCTGGTAGTATTATTTGACACGTTTCTCAGAAAAATGTTAAAAATTAAGGATCTAGGCACTAAATAATCATTCATTTTACGATCTGTAATAAATACTTACGAAGCAGTCTAAAATTAAAATCTGCCTTGTAAAATGTAAAGAATAGTCTTAGTAATTCCAGATCAAGGGTCTGCTTTGGCTCTGAATTCATATTGTAGATACTGTGGGATGACTGGCTGTGGGTATCAGATCTAAAGTATGTTTTAGCATAGAGAATGATCTTACCTTTTAAGTGGGCTGCATCAACCTCAGTTCCATCCCAAACTTTTTCAAAAAAATTTTTTATTGAAATGTAGTTGATTTACAATGTTAGTTTCAGGTGTACAGCAAAGTGATTCAGTTATACATATACATACATATATATTTTTCCTTTTCAGATTCTTTTCCATTATATGTTATAAGAAATTGAATATAGTTCCCCGTGCTATACAGTAGGTCCCAAATTTTTATATAAAGGATGTAAATATGTAATTATGATCTTGAATTAAGTCAAAGAAAGTCTAGAAATGAAAATTTACCACAGGTAAACAACTAGAAAAGGAGAGGGTGGAATCATCAATTTTGCATTTACCTTATTATTTCTAATAAATGTCAAAGAATATTTATATGGAGAAATACAAAGTTAGGTAAGAAAAGCAGGCTATAAAACTGCATACAGTATGATCCTGATTATCTGTTTAAAGTTGTGTTTAAGATTAGAAAGACAGTAATTCTTACCTCTGCATATTTAAAATTTTTCTCTTAATGAAATTTTTGCAAGTTTCTACATGCATTTTACTATCAGAGACAAACTTTTTAAACACACTTAACAATTTAAAAAGCAAGGCAAGTTAACAAGAGGGAAATTTTCTATTTAATAAGACTTTTCTGTCCACTGGATTTCTTATACTGCTTCCTAAAATCCTTATAGTGACTATAAAGTCTTCCCCAGAGGAACGATTATGTCATTTGCTTTACTTGTCTGCTGACTTCCTCAGATGAAAGCATCACTTAAGTTTGGTCCACATTGCTTCACCCATAGTCATGGCACATTTACCCTAGCCAGTCCACAGGCCCTTGCCATCCTCACCTACAGCTTGTGATTGTGAGATGACTGATTGTTATGGCAAAGTCTACAGCTTCAGAACAAAGCTGAATCAGCTGGCTTTTTCAGTGTCAAACCCAAGACTTTGTCCATCTCTGCTAAACAAAATGACACCACCCCCTCTCCTCCATGCTCACTTTTGATACTCCCTCAGTAACTGTGCAAAGTGATACCTTTCCCAGGAGAGGTGCTGAATGTATCTTTTTTTCCTTCACATTTTGAAATCTCTGAAATTTGGATGATGAACTATATAATCTTATAATTGTCAGGAACTTTTTTATTGGCACATGAAACAGTAATGAATTTTATAGTTTGTATCATAGAATCAACAAAAATGGGTATTATGCATATAATAAAAGCATATCGTAAGGAAAAGAAAAATGGGACACAAGCTGCTAGAAAAGTGTTCACTGTAAACAGATGGTTAATATCGTTCTGTTCTGCAGGGTGTTTACTTCGCAGGGAAGGGAGGTTTATTATTTCATTGTGTTTTTACAGTCAAGGAATTTGGGCTTATAGTGATAATTTAAACTTTTAAGTCTTAATTCAGCACTGCCCACATGTACAGTGAGGCAAAGGGAAGGGTTGAACTTTGCAAGATATTAGTCAACCATTACTTTGCATTTGGAATCATGGATGTAAACCAAAATGTTATTTTTTAATATTAATTGAATAGCAAGTCCAGATTGATGACTCATATTATCATCTGTCTTCGGCTATAAAAGGGCAGTATCAGATGGTCTGCCTTGTGTTACTGTAAAGAGAAAAGAGAAAAAAGAAACCTCATGATTGACAACCAAAAAGGCTTTTGCATTGTGAATATGGATCAGAGCTTCGACTATGGGTTGCAAGTACTCGATTGATATTGATAAAGAAAAGACTGGCAATGAGTGTCTTCTGTCCTCAAACACCCATTTCCTAGGTTTAAAGTAAATTTCACATTAGCTATATAAATATGAAAGACAGGTTTCCATAGCTGTTCGTTATTATTTAAAAATTGCTCTGGTTCTACCAATAGCACTGGAATCCCTTGTTTTGCTGGTTGGCTCACAAATGTAGTGTCCATGGAAAGGTTGAAAGGTTGTTATACCTTTATTCAACTCACACACCCCCTTCTCCCATTCCTGTATCCACAGCGAAGCTGCCGCCCATGCTGTCGCCACCCTGGCGGAGGCCACCTTGCAAGGGGGGGGACAGATCGTCCTGTCTGGGGAAACCGCAGCAGCCGTCGGAGCACTTACTGGAGTCCAAGATGCTAATGGTAAGAGAGCATAAATATTTTATTGAATTTCTTCCCTGTTTCCACTTAAACCTTCATGACATGACTGACAGCAAACCCTTCAGAATGAAGCTGAGTTTGATTTGAGTTTTTTAAATATTGGTAGGCAATTGATACTTAGGAAAATTCTAGGAGCCTTTGATTCCTTTCACTAGTAGGAGACCTGGGGTTTCTTGAGTGGGGAAAAATATAATGATGGCTACCTAACTGAATTGCTTATTTGGAAAGTGTTTGCTGTGACAGGACTTGCTGAGAAGGATATGAAAATTTGCTGTGGGGCACATTTTGTCCTTTTTCTTCCATGGGTAGATCCATGTCCTTTGCTGTAGCAGAGACTCTCCTGTGGGCGAGTGCATTGTGGTAGGAGGAATGTTCTGAATCCCTCGAGAAAGACTCCACCATCTCACCACAAGGTCAGCCAGCAGGCTGTGATGAAAGCGTTTTTTCTGGCTGATCCTATGGGTTCTGCTTCCTATTAAGTGTGGCCCCATCGAGGACCCCTGGATTTAGCCAATAACATGCCACCACCCTGCCATTCTTTCCCAGCTCTTTGACTTCCTGGATATTGGTGATATCCTGAATAAACAAAAGGGATACAGTTCATAGGAATATGGTGACACAAGTTTACGACTCCAGCTCAGCTCTTTGGATCCACTTCGGAAGGCTATGGGAGTCCGTTACTAAGACTTGGGCTACCTGGAGAAGTGCCTCAGAAGTCTGGGTAAAAGAGGAGGACCAGCCCTATTCTGTGAGACTCTATGTGATTGTTTATTAAGCTTTTAAAACATACATATGATTAGGTTAAGTGGGACAAATTACGTTCTCCATGACTTTTGGAAATTTGTGGTTTAAAGTCCTGGAAAGAAGATAGGTAATAGCATACTTTTATTTAGGGAAGAAGTTCCTTAATGGCATTAGTGGCAGGAAGAAAAGTCCCTGGCACTTTTTTTAGGGTAGGTCCCTAGAAACTGAATAGCATGTTAGTTGGAAAAGTCTTTGAAGAAAGACACAATGGTGTGTCCACCTTCAAAAGTGGGAAGAAGAAGAATAACATAGGAAATATAAAGAGCCATGTGGCTTCCGAGAATCATTCTCATAAGCAAACAAAAAATCAAATACTACAACTACAGCCTGCTTTTTCTGTAGGGCTCAGGGCTTCCATGAACTAACCCAAATAGAGAAAGTGTTGATCTTAGCCAGAACACTGCAAGATAAAGGGCATCTTATAGCCATGTATGTTCAGCATGAAATGACCATAGATGGAATTAAGAAAACCTCCCTCTTTAGCTAGAATCCTACCCTTATTCCCTTTCTTGTTTCTATTCCTCCTTCAAGTCCCGGTCTAACTTGAACAAAAGGTGGGATATCTGACTATGTCACACTCTTTTGAAATGCGACTGCTGTTCTTCACTGTGGAACTGCTAAGAATACTTCCCTGTGTGGGTTTGATAGGAGACTTTGTTGGCCCTTCTAATGGCCTTGACCTGTCTAGGAGAGGAGAACAAACTGCTTTATAGCTCTGGCCTCCCCAGCCTCACCTTTTCAGATAGATGAGTTTATAGATAAGTGTAAGGACTCTCTGGGTCTCCCATCAAGTAGACTTATTCAGCCATGAGATAAAGGTGAACCTCATCTACTACTGTTGATTCCTGGAAACTGCTTCTTTTTAGCAGGTTAGGTTGTATGAATCAGTTATGTTGACTTCATGTTGTTGGCTGCATTTGTGATAAGAGAAAATTACGATCTACATCTTAAAAGCCAGTGATTCTCCAAAGCAGACCTTTCCCTAGTTTGTGACCTGCTAACACATGTGAATTTGGACTTGAGGTAGTGCTTTCTCAGCACTACAGCAAATCAGACCATTGAGTTGTGCCTTATCCCAGTAATTTTAGGTGAAGGCCAATCATGTCATCTATCCCTTGGGAATCAGAGGAGGAATCTAATATTGGATATGATCCAGATGATTCTGATGCTCCTTCTGTCTTCTAACATTTTTCCCAGACTGCTGTAGGATTTACTCTGAGACTTGTAACTACATTTTTCCCATTTAACCAGCTAATTTGTTATCTGTTTGGACTTGTAGGAGTTCTTTTCTCATCATTCCTTCAGATTGTGTCCTGTTGGCAATGTTTGTCACTTCTGTAATGACAAGCTTATGGTATCTGCCAGTAGACCAAACTTATTATCAGGAAGCGTTTATTATGGGGAAGAACCAGATGATAGCAGAATAAGGTGCTATTTGGTAACAGACACTACTGGGGAAAAAATATATCCCAGATTCCAGGGTATGGCTTAAATAAAAATCCTACAAGCAGATGACTGTTCTAAGGACAGTGTGGACAGTGTGAATGTTGGTTTGTTCAGGCCTGAAGCTGGAGTTTCAGCATCTTCTGGGATGGAACTAGAGGCTTGATAGTGTGTAGTAACCAATGAGAGATGGCTGGGGCAGTGTGTAGAACAGTGGTTTTCAAGTTAAGGATAATGACATCTGCATGACAGAAGTTTAAATTCCAAGTTACCAAGGCAGACCTGGCAGAGACCTTGTAACTCTGAAGACTTCTCCTTTATCCTGGACCCTATCCCACCCTAACACTAAAAGGTCTACTCAAGCACTAGCATTACTCTACTCCATTTATGGTCTCCCTTTTTCAATAGCGGTAAATAAGTCTTTGGTTTTTTGATGGTATTGCAAGGTTTGGTTCAATATAAAGATTTTCATAGGTGCCTTTCTCTTTGAAATGCCTAAGGCTGGGAAAGGTCTATGGTTGAGTTTCTTCCTTTACCTATTCTTTTCTTTTCTTTTTTTTTTTTTTTTTGACACAGTTATCCCTTGCTTTCCCCTCTAACATACTTTAATATAATAGGTTGTAAATTTTAAATTGCCCATTGGTTTCCCTTCACTTTTCCATCCTTTATACCGTTTATTAATGGATGCCAGGACCAATAAAGTCAGGCTTACATGTGTTGAAGAACTCTGAGTGATATTCACCTCTCACCCAACCTCGCCACCTGCTGTTAGCAATCCTCAGGGAGCCATATCTACAGATCTTTTATCTTCCTTCCTATTTCAACAAAAATAGTGAAAAAAGCTAGATGGGGGAAAACAAAATAAACAGTTAAAGTTCATACTTAATCAATAAAAGGAATGGAAATTATCTTCTTCTACTGTTGTCCATCAGTTTCTTACCGGAGCTGCTAAGAAAGGATGAACATTTTCTAAAATCGCTGACATTTTTTCTAATAGCACCACAGTTAAAGGGAGAGCATAGCATTTTCTGGAGTTTTTTGTTTTAGTTTGAGTTTTTTTGGTCCTGACTATAAAAATCATCTATGATCCCACTACATAGAATGTTAATATTTTGAGTTTTTAAAATATGGCCCTTTTTTCCCCCCATTCATAAAATTTTTTAACCTAATTAGGATCATGTCTGTACTATTTCATAACTTGCTTTGAAATATCTTAACCATTTTCATGTAGTTAAATATTTTTTGAAAAGATCACTTTAATGCTTGCTAATATATCATCATGTTCTCCATCATAATAATCAGTCCCCTACTGGTAGTAATTTAGGTCATTAATAAATTTTTTACAACAAAATAACCTTTGTACAAAGCCTTGCCCACACTTTGATTCTTTGCTATGTGGCTCTTACTTCTTTATACTTCCAACAGTACTGTTCAGAACCCGCTTTGTTACCCCTCACCAACACTGAATATTAGCTTAATTTACTTTGTGTGTGCCTATTTGATAGGCAAGAAGTTGTGTTCCACTTTAATTTGCATTTTTAACATTAGTGATAGATATTTTTACTTTTTTTCTTCAAGTTTTTAGTGTTTTAGTATTTTAGTATTTGTCTATTTGTTTTCTTCACCCATTTTTCTTTTGGAGTCTTTAATATATGAAGAGTTTTTCCAAATCAGTGAGAGATAACAGTATAATCCCTTTATTGTGTATGTTGTAGTTTTTCCCAGTTTATTTTTATTCCACTTCTGTTACTTTCATTTTTATTTCCTTAATTATTTCTCTTTTGCCTTTATGTTTATATAAATATCTAACAATAGGCCAGTTCTCCTATGGACTTAATTTTTATTTTAAATACTATAAAGTATCTGGAATTTATTTTGGTATATGGCATTAGGTAAGAATCTGAATTGATTTTTTTCCCCTACATAATTAATTATTCTAGCACCATTCATTCTATAAAAAGGTTGAAATCCATCCTTTCTAAACTGATTTGAAATGTCATCTTTATTATGCAGAATTCTTAAACTGTGTAGGGTCGTGTGTGGGACTCTTCTATTTCTATTCATCTGTTCTTTATACTGTAATATTTTACTATTGTGATGTTATATTTAGCGGTTAATGAAAGGCCTATCTCCAAATTTGAAAAAAGTTCAGACAAAATCCTGAAGATTTTTTTTTGGGAATTGAACTTTATAATAATTTTAAAGTTCATCTGGAAGAATTAAGCCTTGTTTTAGCCTTAAAAAAAAAATCTTACCAAGCCTTTTAGAAGAACTGCTAAGAAGTTTTAAAATTGACTAATTTAAGTTTTCTCGTCTCCATCTGCCCCGTTTCCCCTGGGGCAGAGGACATGGGGAATGTTCATAATCACAGAGATCGACCAGGAGTGGGAAGCAAGTGGTCTGAATACTGCCCCAGTGAACTGAATCACGGGACACTAATTGTTGCTGGAGGAGACATTGTCCCTACTGCAATGGTGCTCATTTCTTAAGACCAAACCAGGTGTGTCTTCCTAGACTAAGAAATTGTGGCCATTCATTCTATTTATGCATAATTCTATGGAGGTTCAGTTCTTGTACTCTGAAATTTTAGTTTCACTTTTTTTCCCCCAACTTCAGTTTCATTTTTTTGTACTAAAGATGATGGGGTGGGGCACTGCTCATTTATGGTGTACACCATGATAGGACACCAGCATTCTTTTCCACTATTGACCTTGCATTCTGTCTCTCAATCCCAT